CCTCCTGGTTTACAGCTTCCGAGCGGCTCTCATGACCCCAGTCCACAGGACCTCTGACCCCTCGGGCTTAGTCTGCATTGAGCTAGGGTCTTGCAAAGTTACCAAGCAAGGCTGGACTCAAACTTGCAATCCTCCTGCTTCAGCCTCTTGAATAGCTGGGACACAGACATGTGCCACTGTGCCCAGGTTCACTCTCCTATTTTTAATACTTTACACCCAGATCACTTCACCAACTCATGATGTTAGACATCTGAGTTTGCAACTCTTGAGTTAAGGAGGAGAAAAGGGATACTACCCAAATGTAAGTGCAAAACATGTAACTCATTGTTTCCCAAAGGTACAAATGGAAATATAAACACATTTGAGATAAGTGTGTGGTTAAACAAATCCAAAATCCTTTGTTCAATAGGGCTTGCAGTACATTCTTGATATTTTTGAGGCTGAATCATAAAAGGCTGCCTTTATGGTTGTCAGAGATGAACTCTAGGTTGGAGTTTAATATATTAAATATCACATAACTAGGTGACATGTATACAACATTATGTAATAGATGTGTTTGTTAAATACACGCAGATACTTTACCTTCCTGTTTTATTAAGGTATAACTGGTAAATAAAAATTTTATCTATTTACAGTGTATGATGTGATGTTCTCATATATCTATATATTGTGAGGTAAACAGATCCAGTGAATTAACATTCTATCAGCTACAAACTTTTAAAAACAAAATTTCTTTTAAGTAAATTGAGTCATATGTAAAACAGCTTTCTATGACTGAGTATATTTTTATAGAGGAGCTTCCTTTAGCTACAAACTGATCACTAATGTTTTTTTGTTAAACATACATGGATTTTCTCATATTGGATTTAGGAATTACTCTTATTTCACTAGGCTAGTTTAGTTGAACAGTTCTAATCTGTTTTTACACTCTGAATCTGTAAACTTGTAAAATAAAGACCTTAGCGAGGAATAATTTCTGGGCTAAAAGAAAAATATCAGTACAAAGGTGAGCTAGATCCAGTCTCAGGTAACAGAGCACAGTATTCTAGGGAGTGATAAATTGAATATCTACAAAATAATGGGACAAATTGAGGACAGGTGCTTCCAGGACTGAGGCAGTAAGAAGCTCACAGCACTATTCACACAGTAGGAATTCTGTCCGCATAAGACAGCTCGCCCCACCAGAGACAGCTACAAAACAAATGGCCTGTCCTTTCCCCAAATATCAGCCATAAAAGACCAAAAGCAAAAATAACCCCAGAGAAATAGTCCAGACTAAAGGACATGAGGGAGATATGGTGTAGGATTGATGACGACACTGGCATAGTCAGCAAATCTCAAACAGGGTCTATATCCGTGATGGTGAACCTTTTAGAGCTTTCAATGATACAAACAGCCCACTGTAGCACATGTGCCATAGGTTTGCCACCACTGGTCTATAATATAGATGATAATGCATCAATTTAAATGTCCTTAATCTGACCATTATAATGTGGCTATGATTGTCTAATAAGAGTTCCTTGTTCACAAGAAGCACAGAAAGTAAAGAAACATAACATGTATACACTTATTACAAGAAGGAAACAAAAAATGTGGGAAAATATTAGCAATTAGTGAATTTAAGAGAGCATATACATAAATAAACTGTTCATTTTTGCAAGCTTTAAAATTTTTTCAAAACAAAAAGCCTAGAAATCTCAACCCTGATAATAAAGGTATACATCTTGAAGCAGGACTCTTATCTCACTTCTAAAATAAGAATGACTTTGAATACATCTTTAGATTGACTTTTTTTTTTTTTTTTTTTTGTCTTTTTGAGACAGGCTCTTGCTATGCAGTTCAGGCTGGCCTTGAACTCACTTTGTAGGCCAGGCTGGTCTCGAACTCGCAAGATCCTCCTGCCTCAGCCTCCTGACGGCTGGGATTACAGGTATGTGCCACCATGCCCAGTCTTTAGATTGACTTTCTAAGAACACCCAAAAGATGATCACTGAATTTGGGATGGGGCTCCGTGACAGAGTCCTTGCCTATGTGAAGCTCTGTCCAATCTCCAGCATCACAAAAAAAAAAAAAAAAAATCACTACTTCATATTACTTTTTATAAAAGGATAATTAAAAAATTATCCTGAAAAAAACAAGTACCACATTATTGCCTGGCACAAATATTATACAATCTTTAGACTGCCCTCCATAAAAAATTTAGTCTTTTATAATTCTAGTTCTATAAAGTAGCAGTAATACTTGAACTTCTTAATGAATTTTTTTTTTTTGGTACGGGGAATCAAACTCAGGACCTTGCACTTGCCAGGCAGGCACTTATGCTGCTGAACTACAGCCCAGACTCTGCTTAACGATTTTTAACTATGCTTGTATGTTTATAACTTAAAAATAATAAAAATAAACAGCTATCATTAATATTAAAATATGGGAACGCTTTTGTTATTCAAAAGGATTATGTCCACAGCATATTTTATAATCAGAAACCTGATCATCCAAGATAGAGAAAATTTTAAGAGACAGATGGCTTTGTGCTAAAAGGGGAGGGTTCTCTATCAATATAAGATATTCACTATAATAATTTTTTTTTTTTTTTTTTTTTGTCTTTTTGAGACAGGATCTCATTATGCAGTTCAGGCTGGCCTTGAGCTCACTTTGTAGCCCAAGCTGGTCTCGAACTCGCAACGAGTTCTCCTGCCTCAGCCTCCCAAGTGCTGGGATTATAGGCATGCACCACCACACCTGGGTAATAATCTCAAATGTACCTGAAAACGGAAGTTTCATTGAGGCATCTTAGAGAACAGTTAGTATCATCAGCTCTGGGAGGCCAGCCTACAGGGACCCTGGGTGAGGGTCTTCAGAAGGGGTCCTCAAAGCAGAGAACTCTTGAAATGTCATCTGGACTTCTGAGAATGCCTGTATTTTCTGTTTACAACTGCCTCTTTAGTATTAACTTCTGCTGGCTCAAATCTATTACTACTTGGAATGGGAGGAAATCTCAACCTCTGCAGACATTGGATATTTTCTCCTCTTCCTCATCCTGACACAATCTCACTCTGTCCTTATAGGGTTTGATCTTAATGCAGCCAGAACTATATTTGGCATTAGCCTCCTCAATAACAGGGACCTGCCCTGCTCAACAAATGAAGTGGAGCCGGGCATGGTGCTGCAACCTGTAATCCCAGCCCTCCGGAGCCTGAGGCAGGAGGATTGTTGTGAGTTCCAGGCCAACCTGAACTGCATAGTGAGACCCTCTCTGAAAAAGACTAAAAAAAAAAACAAACAAACAAACAAAAAAAAAGCAAAACAAAAAAAAACCAAATGAGTTGGAGCAGTTGTTTTGCCAGAGAAGCGTGGCAAGTAAAGAGGCCAGCACTATTCAGGCACAGTAGCACATGTCTATAATCCCAATTACTGGAAAGTTGAGGCAGGAGGATCACAAGTTCAAGGCCACTTTGGGCAACTTAGTCTCTGGCTCAAAATAAAGTAAGAAGGGTTGGGGATGTAGCTCATTGCTCCCGGGGTTCAACCCCCAGTACCAAAAAAATACA